ACTCGCTTGAGCCCCAGGAGTTGGAGGTTCCTGTGAGCTGTGATGCCATGGCACTTTACCCAGGGCGACAGCTTAAGGCTCTGTCTCAAAAAAAAAAAAAAAAAAAGAGAAAGAGAGAGTTTGAGGTTACTATGAGCTGTGACACCACAGTACTCTATTGAGGGCAATAAAGTGAGACCCAGTCTCAAAAAAAAAAAAATTAATCCTACAGAAGTCAACATTTTATGAAGCTTCGATGATTAAAACAAAGTGGTCCTAGAACGTGGACAAATCTAAGCCCATAGAACGGAACAGAAAGCCCAGCTACAGAACCTAATGCAAACTAATTCATAGTGTTGAGAAAAATGTGGATCAACATTTTATACTTTATGCTTGTTTAAATTCTAAATGGGTTAAAAATTTACAAGTAAAAAATGAAATAATGAGAGTACATGGAATTCTTTTATGATCTGAGGATGGATGGATGTTTTTTCATATGACTCAAAATCCAGAAGTCATAAAATATTTATCAATTCAAATACATTTTAAAAATTTCATGCGTAGACATTATAAGCAAATCAAAACCAACAAATTGAGGAAAAAATGTTCACAGCTAGTATCAAAATCAGCTAATCTCCTTAATATTTAAAGAGCTCCCAGATGGCAAAAATAAAAGTAGAAATCACCAACATTAGAAAAATGGGCAAAGTAGATAAAATGACAGTTCACAGAAAAGGAAACACATGATTCTTAAACATGTTATAAGATGCTCAAAGTCACTCCAAATAAGAGAAATGCAAATTAAAAGATTTCAAAGTTCTAGCACTCTGGGAGGTGGAGGTGGGTGGATTGCCTGACCTCAAAGGTTTGAGACCAGCCTGAGCCAGAGTGTTTCTAAATATAGCCAGGCATTGTGGTGGGTGGTTGTAGTCCCAGCTACGCGGGAGGCTAAGACAAGAAAATCACTTGAGCCCAAGAATTTGAGGTTGCTGTGAGCTGTGATGCCACAGCACTCTACCCAGGGCAACAAAGTGAGACTCTGCTCAAAAA